GGCAGTTAAGCAGTACGTGTATGTCAGTACAACACACTGTTGTATTAAATCTCATACAAAACACCGTGCCTGTAGCTTCTCGCTATCTGTGGGAGTTGGAGAACTTAACCCTTCATCTGATGTGTCCAAGGGTGGGAAATTCCCAGCCCACCTTACTGTGAACGTAACGCTTTGTGCCTTTAACTCTTCTCATTTAGATGTGCAAAAACAGTATGAATGCGCCAATTTTGGTGAACAGGGAATCACAGTGGGATGCTGGGATGTGTACCGTCATGACATCGACTGCCAGTGGATCGATATTACTGATGTCCCACCAGGCGATTACCTCTTCCAGGTACGGGAGGAAAAAAAGAGGGTTTGAGACACTGCTGTTGCTTTTATCTAATCCGTTAGGGATGTAACCAACTGGTTTACTTGTACATCTCCTACAGTACTATAAACTTCTGATTACAAAGGAGTTATATTCCCAGGATACCTAAAAGATAAAGAATTACCTAACAGGACAAAGTGTTACCAGATCACATACTTCCCCAAGTGAAAAATCAGGGCCAACGGCCACAGCTTAGAGCCGATAGTCTTAAGAAATCCGCACCCAGCTAAGACCCAATAGTCCTACACAATCTATGTGCAGCTAATGTTAACGCACCATGTTACGTGTCACATTTTATATATATATATACATATATATGCACAGCATCCCACGGTCGTCTCGTACTAAGCTTTTGAGCTTAGTTTGTAAGCAATGTTCGCCTCATCTGGGGATTAAATATAGTGCTATTCTTGTGGTGTTTGCATGAGGAGTTAAAGCTGCGCCTACAGTCTGTTCTGTGCAAGTGGGTGGAGTGGGGGGAATTCTTTGGTTCTAAAAACAGGCACTTAAACGGGAGAGGAGGCAACAGGAATTATTTCCGTCTGCACTATCGTGTGAAATGTAGAGAAAGGTGTTTGAGGATCTGGGTGCACGGGGGAAGGTGCGATCTTGATCTGGCTTTAATCAAGTAGTTTCTGTTTCTTTGCAAAGTGAGTTGTTTGTTGGGGTTTTTTTAATTATTATGGTGTAATGAAAAAGCTGATTCTGTCTCAGTCTGATTAGTAAATGCCATGTCCAGTCCACCTGTAGGTAACTTTATGCTGTTTCTCCATCACTCCCTAGGTTGTCATCAACCCAAACTATGAAGTTGCTGAATCCGATTATTCAAATAACGTGATGAAATGCAGGAGCCGGTACGATGGGCAGCGCATCTGGATGTACAACTGCCACATAGGTGAGAGTAACTTCTGCAGGTGGAAATTTAATGGCTGTTGTGAGTAGATCAGACTGCACTGCTGACTCTTCACTAGGAATTCTCTGCGCTTCTGTTGCAACGTGCTTACGTGCCGTTTATTCCTTTGTACATGCATGGAAAGATGAGATACTCACCCCAAACTGTACCCTGGTGCTATTTGAACAGTCTGTGGCAAAGGCAGACACCAACGTGTCTCTGTTACAGGGTCAAGCTGCTACACGTTTTAAAGAGTAAGATTTGGATGAGGGTGGGACGGTGCGTTACTGCTTGGTGCTACTTTGTGCCTGGTACTGGAGCAGCAAGCACCGCGCTGGTAAAACGGCCCTCGGGCGTGGGAGAACAGGGGTGAGGGATGTTCCAGCTGTGTCCCTTCTGCAAGGAATTCAGCATTTTTCCCTCCCGAGCTCGTCAGGCGTAAGGAGCTGTTTGGAGGGCCTAGTAGGTCCAGGCAAACAACTACACCTTCTTCCCAGAATTATTACCAGCCTGAGACTGATCTCTTCAGACCTCAAAGCTTCTCTTTTCTTGAGAAGCAAACAAGAACAGTGATGGGTGAAGCACAGTGCTCTGCTATCCCTTGAGTATGAGGGAAAACTGTGCATTTTCTTGAATAGATATAAAACATTAATTTGTAGGGGTTTTTTTGGTTTTGGAAATATCAAAGCCAAACTAGTTTAAAAATGCATTAATGGTCAATTGTCAAGACCTTTTTAAAACAGAATTAAGCTGAGGGCTTTGTAAGATAAACTGTTTTTAACAGAGAAAACAAATGACCAGCAACTGCCTGCCAACCTCCAAATAAAACCAATGGTGAAGACAATTTCCACAGCTGGCTGAAGTTCTTCAAGGCATGTTTTTCCTGAAAAAATTCCATGTAACCACTGATATTTTTCTCATTAATTTGTTCGGGTTTTTTTAAGAAAATACTTGTCTCATGTGTCACGCTTCAGATTGCGACCTAGTTCAGAAAAGCCAAACCCACTTCATTTGGATGAGCAGGCACTTAAGGGCTGAATGGACTTTCCAGCTGAGCTTGAAACTATTTCTATTTAAAAATAAATGGCTTTAGCTTTCATTGTCTCTCAATGAGCAAAAAGTAAGGGCATGGTCCTACTTCAGAAGAGTAAACAGAACCCACTTACCATCAGATTCAAGGAGGAGACCATGTCACAGGTCCTGCTAGCCATCACCTGATTTTTTTTTTTAAAGCGGTGAAATTGAGGGTAGTTTGTAATCTAGTCTTCCAAATACATAAAAGACTAGATCCGGTACTCCTGGGGCCTCTTGACTGTTCCAGTTATGGCAAGATTTAATACATACTTAAATTAATTAGCCCAGGAACATCTTTGCTCTTCTAGTACTTGCTTTGAGCCCTTCCTTTTCACAGCATCTCTTGCAGATTACCCCTTGCTCTGCCTTGTGTTGCAAGCTGCTGCTATCTCCTGCGTAACCCTGAGTTCTTTCTGTCAACTCCCCAGGTGGCTCCTTCAGTGAGGAAACGGAAGAGAAGTTTGATCACTTCAGTGGACTCACAAATAACAAGGTGTCCACCCGATAGAACAGCATCGCCTCCCACCCCACTATTTAAAGAAGCAAGGTTTCCTGCTTCAGTGATTTTTTTTTCCCTAACCACTGCACAAGAAAGAAAATCAAGCAAACAATCAAACTCTAAATTAGCAAGGTAAATTATTTTCTAAAGATGCCTTCCTTCCCAGTTTAGGTGCTCACTCCAGTCCCTCTAACCGAGGTAGTTAGGAGCAGGCTTTTAAACTCTACTTGGCTCCGTATCTTCACCATTCCAACCTTCTTCACAAAGATTTCTCCCTCCACTTTTTGCAGCACCATCTTTACTCACAGACGTAGGTCCTGGCTGCAGCGAGCACACTTTGCCTTTGGGTACCAACAACCTAAATATGTCTTTACAGTTCATTTCCTTCAAGGCATTAATCTTGGTATCTTTAAGCTCTTTAACTCAAGCTTGAAACGCACCATTGATGCAAACGCCTCCATTTGTGACGCTGCTTCTTGAACACAGCTAATCCTCAGTACTGCCATGTCATTACTCCAGTGTAGCAAAGAAATACAGGAAAGGAGAAAAAAAAAAAATCGGAGCAGCTTTTTCTGCGCAGAACAGTATAAAGCGTAATTTAATACTGCAGTGAAACTCTTGTATTCAACAATCAACTCCCAGCACAATCTCTTAAGCGGAGCAGCTAATGCAGAACTGTTTTCTCGAGTGCATCAGGGCTCCGTGAAGCTGCACCTCCCTTGTAACATCTAGAAGACTTTGCAGATCTCCTGGTGATGAGTCCACTGGACTGTGAATGTCCGTTACACAGTAAGCTATTCACCCAATAGATTCTACCTACATCTAAGTATTACTTCTAAGCTGGATATTCACTCTGTCTTTTCTTTAAAGGATTAATTTAGTTAAGGCATTGCATCATCACTGTACCTTACAGAGGTAACTTCATGGCTTTCATCATCAGGGATCTGGACCTGTGCTGTCACAGACCCTCCTGTGTAAGTTGTCTTTAAAAGGATTTTTACACTCGGTAAAATCACAATGGTGCTACGCATGTTCCTCTGTTTGTTTGAGGACACGCATTGCTACAGATTTTTCAGACACAGCTACTTGAATAAAATGTTTTACCCAGAAAAATGTTTTATATGCCATTTGTGTATTTCTACTCCATAAAAGTTTAGGGCCTTGTTCACAATTCCTGGTACTGAAGTTTTGGATTTTTTCCCCTCTGTGTTTGTACGGAAGACTTCTACAAGCAGCTAAAGTTAACTGACTGCTTATAGCTGACCATTTCGATCCACAGGGTGATTGAAACTGGATGTATCTAACTTGTGCTCTCCATAACCTACCTCACAGGGATGTTGTGAGGCTTAAAGAACGCAGAAGTCGTTTGCTAATGCCTGTCAAGAGTATTTGTCATTTATCCAGTGGCCCAGACGGTGGCATCTAGCAAAGGTTTTTAGCCTACTGTAAGCTGGAAAACTCCATTTTGTTCTCAAGGTGCCGGACTGTAGCAAAAGCAGCATCTGAGATGTGCTGGATACACAACAAGGTGTGTCGCAGCATCTCTGAACACCCAGCTCCAGGCAAGTGCTGGTTTTCTTGTCCTTATCAGTGGCTGACAACTTTCCATGCTATAACAGTGTAACAAAGCAAGTCAGGCTCTTTAGCACTCTGTAAATAACAAAAACCCCTGAAACTCACTTGCAGTCAATGCCTGTCAGTTTTGTGGGATATTTTAACAATAACATTACAACAAAGTAAACATTAAACAGATTTTTTTTTGACTCCTGCAGATGCTCTGCTCTTGCTTACAGCTGAATTTTGGCCAACAAGATATAATTCCCTTACTCTAATGCATTTTCTTTTTTTTTTTTTTTTTAAGCTCTCGAGCAGGCTCTTCTGTATGCAACCTTAGTTTCTGCCAGCACCCCAGTGAGTAACACTTTCAAAGAGAGCAGGGAAGCTGCTCTCCGTACTGAAGAGCTAACACAGCAGTCCTCACAGGGCTTGGCTCTAGAGCTCGAGATCTCATTAACAGTAAACTTTTTCCCTTCCCAACTTTAGAAAGAAAAGATGGTGCTAATCCATAAGAGAACATCCCTGTGGCAACTCACTGTTCTGCATGCAGTTTAATATCACAGCCATGCTCGTTCTTTACATCTTTTGTTTTTTTTAGCTGAGATGGTTTATTCCTCCTGGTCCAAGCTTTCTGGTGGGAGCATTTCGGTGCCTGAGAGGCCCTGCTGCTTGTGCTTCAAGCCCAACGCCCGGGTCACCAGCCTCTTCGCCACTGCAGTGTCAGTCTGGGGTCTTTCTTTTGCGAGGTGAAGGAGCTCTAGGGGAAAAAAATAAAAAAGGGTGAAAATTTTTAAGTTAGTGCTTGTTCAGGAACAGGCTGGTAGCTGAACCACAGGACTGGCAGCCAGAAGGGCTGATTTCTATTTTCTTCGGCTTAGAATTAGCCCCAGGAGCATGAGCAAATAATTCTATTACTATCCAGTAAATTGCCTTTTCTTTTAGAAGGATGTGCCTCCAGATTTGGACTTAACATTTTTTTAGCTGTAATTAAGCTCCAGGCCTCTTCTGCAGTGGTAGAGAGAATTGTTCCCCATTAACTTTCAGAAACAGCTTCATAACTATTCCTGGCAAAATTCAGCAGGTCACATCTCTGAGAACAAAATGAAGGTACACAGTCCAACCAATTTATCCATGCACAGAAAAGTTTGATCTCAGTTTAGACTAATTTAAAACCAGCTGTTTAAATCCTTAGAAAGCAGCAAGGAAAAAAAAAATCTGAATTTTTTTTAAAAATAGCTAAATTTAATCAGATGCTTTGGGAAAGCCCTTTGGCCAGTTTTGGGTAGACATCTGGCTTGCTATGGTTTCATCTTACAAGAAACGAATCCGCCAAAACTTTACCAAATCCAGACTGCTGTGGATGTGGTAATTATCTAATCATTTATCATATCAGCAACTGTTTGCCAATTTATTATCCAGTTAGCAATGGGGGCTTTGCTTGCTTTTTCAGAAGTTGTTATTAATAAAGGCAGCCCATCAGCAGCTTAAAGAAAAAGGGGCAGACTCAAAGCATCCACAGCTTGGAAAATAAAACTGCCACTCTTTCTTGACTAAAGCTCAAAAAAAAAAAAAAGGAAAAAAAAAAGAGAGACACTGTCAGCCAATTAAGATAATTTGTATTTGAAAAAAAAGGTACTTAAATTGAATAGAAATAGAGTTTTTATCTGATGTTTCCCAGAAGTTTATGACCTGATTCAGAAGTGTGCCGCTATGCTACAGCAACAAGAATCAGGGAGCATGAATGAAAACCAATGAAGTGGCAAGTGCAAAACCAAATCCAATTCTGTGGCATTTCATTTAAATCGAGCAGTCTTAAAAACTCAGGAACTTCTCACTGTGCCAGTGTCCCTTTAAAGCATTAATACTGAAATTTGTTTCAACTGCAATGTACTGTAGAATTAACAGTATGGTTCAGCAAAGTCTCTACTGCTACAAGATTCATGGCATTTCTTTACTGTGGCAAGTATAACTGATTACAATATGATTTTAAAAGGCAATAAAATAAATAAACCAATGTTAATGGCTAAGCATAACAATTTCTTCCTTTGTGATACAAATAAAAATTACGCCAGCCACAAAATGGAACTGCTATGGGTTTTATCTCATCTGTTATCTGTTACCCTTGCCATCCCCTGCCTTCACTGCTACACCTACACCTGGCTGCCGATCAATTAAAACTTTACACAAGAGAAGTAAATAACACACAAAAACCTGAGAATAAACAAAAAGCAACAGGATTTGATGCTTTTTGATTCCATCCTTGTATAGAAGGGAGAAGGGGTGACTGAGAACTTAAGCACCAGTAACCGCTGTAGTTATCTTTCCTGTAAGAATATAATGTAGTCTCATGCTGCAAATTCATTTTTGTCATCACATTGACCTGTGCCAGCCCCTCGTGCCTGCTGCAAACAGGCAGCAACCGGCATTACCGATGTAACAAATATAACTGAAAACTCTACACAACAGCTCCCTGTCCTGCAATGCCAATAAAGCTATAGAAAACCCACCCAAAAAAAGAAATACTGGTCCTTAATATATAATATTTCCCCATTTAACTTGTCATTGTGACCACTCAGGATACAGAAGGCTGGTAAACCAAGAAATAATACTAGTAATAATTTAAAAAAAAAAATAAAAAAAAAAATTGTCTTACTTGGTCGCTGAAGCGCCTTGATCTTTGACTGCTTTGTTGCATGGATCAACGGTCGGATCTTTAAAGAAGGATAACGTCGCCCCAGGGCTTGAGATGCTTCAAAAACAAAGATTGCTGAAATTAGCAGACTGAATATTCGTGGCTTTAATCGTAAAAAACAGTACATGGTATAACAACACTGAATAACTTGAACTTTGGCAGCTGAGGCATTATCTCAAGACTTGTACTAAACCAGCTGAACTCATCCTGGTCACCTCAGGCTTACATCACACGTTCCTCACGCAGGAAGAGTCCCAAGAAAATACTAACAGTTACAAGAGGGAAAAAAAAACAACCCACAAACCTGAAGCAGCAAACCAGAAATTAATCTAATGTCTAGAAATGCAGCATGAGTTGCTCAGTAAACACAAGGTGCCCTGGTTTATTATCCAAGGCAATTAAAAACCCATTCTTGCAAAGCAGAGTTTCCACACAACATGCAGAAATTCCTGCTTCTCGAGCCTTAAAAGCCTTTCAAGTCTGAAGCGCAGAAGAAGAAAGACGCGATGAACCGTGACTACCTTTGGCAGCAGCTAGCCCGAGCGCAAGACTCAACAGACACGGCGAACCACCGCGTTGGTGCCGGGAAAAAGCAGAGAAGCCCCGGCGGGTCCCTCAATCACAGCCCCGAATCGAGTCACGCTACCTGTGGACAGGCTGGAGAAGATTCCCAGGGCGTGCGTATCATCGACCCATTGGATTTTGAAACCGCTCTCACTAAAATGAAAAGGCAATAGAGTAATATTCATTAATAAGAAAGAAAAAAAAAACAAACCCCAAGCCCACACCACACACACGCAAAAAAAGAAAAAGTTCATCAGCCACGTAGGGTTATTGGGAGTAATAAGTATTTTTATGTAGACAGCTGGTGCTTTTCAAATCATTTATACCCATTTTAGATGAGGGAAAAGAGAAGGAAAGGAACAGAAGGAGATTAGATGTGCCCCTTTTCCCAGCCACAATCTACAATTCCCCCTAGAACTCTCCTTTTCCTCTGAAGAAACCCTTGGCCAAAATCAACCTCAATTTCAGGGACTGTCTCGTAACCCAAAAATATTGTAAAGCACTACACAAACAACAAACAAACACCACCTGAGTGCTCAGACATCTAAAATGAAAAGTGATTTATAAAAAGTGGTTTACAAAGCTTTGGTGAAAATCTAATAAAGTGTCAGTGGAAAAATGTGAGTTTGGGAGCAGGGAGTTCAAAGATTTCCTGCAGCACAGGAAATACAAATACCATCGACCGCTCAGATTAGATCCATCAATTTTCAGCTCAGTTTCACTCTCGGAGCAAGTGGAAAAAAAGCATTAGAGGAAACACACACAACGGACAGGAGCCTACTTAAAATGCAAATCACGTTATTTAATTTAAGGGATCCGTAGAGGTGAAGCGTTCACATCCAACCTGCCAGGTATATCAAGAGAGGAGGAGGATGGCGAGAGGAAAAGAGAGAGAGGTGCCTACAGACACGGCGTCGGCACGCTTGGCCAGCGGCGACGCAGGAATTCAGAGCTGCACCGAGCACCGCTGCTCGCTAACACAGGGCTGAACTTTGGTCTGGTCCTGCCACTAATCCAACGTCACTCCCTTAGGCGCAAGGCTCTGTTCCCCATATTTACATAAGAAATCTTATCTCCAACAGCAGGATTGAGCCCTTTCTCTTGCGAGACTTATGTAAGCACGTCATTTCACTCAGGCACAGTAACAAAGAAGCTCCTAGAAAGCACCTAAAGACTCTCACTGAAGGCAGAGCAGTAGGAATAAGCCTGCATGGAGATAACTGTGCGTATGACAGAGCCCTGAAGAACCAGTCATGTTTTAAATCACGCACGAACTGCGGGAAAGCGTCCTTTAAGGCACAGAAGGAGTGTAAGACATAAGGGCATGAAGGCGAAACTGAAATTCAAAATTCATCAGGTTCTGTTGTGCATTCAAGCCTGAATACCGCTGCCGTCGTGCCCCTGATGTGCTCGGGCTCCCGACAGGTACTCACTGGAAATCCGAGAACACTTCCAGCAGGTGCTCCGTTTTCAGCGACGGGGAGAAGTCATAGATTTCAGTTACGTGGCCAAAGTCCCCCTCGCTGAGCTGTGCATCTCCGTAGCTGGAAAAATCGAAGTTGATCTTCTCGATGCTTATGTCCTTCACGGTTAAATAACCCACAATCTGAGAATATTAAAAAAAATAATAATTAAAAAAAACCCTATCAAACAAGGTTTCAGTTCAAAGAGAGATCCTCCAGGGCCCCACCTCGGTCCCTGCAAACCACTTCTGCGACCGCACTCCTGCCAGCAGGCTCGGCAGCCGCCCGGGGCAGCGCAGCACAGGGACTCTCCTCCCACGGACTAACGCTTCCCCTTGGGCCGAGTCCTGAGCCACCCTCTTTTGCCCCAAAGTCGCTCCCTGCGGCAATCCCGGTGGCAAACAGTACCTCTGCAAAGAGCTCTGCAGTACAGTCGCTCTCGAGGCTGCTCTGCCGGTGGGCGGCCACACTCTCCTCTTTATCACCTGCAGACAAATGCAGCTCACACCAGAGCGCGCCGGCCAAGCCCGAATGCTCCTCGTCCTCTTCTGCCGCAGGCTCCTTCCCACCGCGGTTCTGCCCGGGACCATCTGCCTGGCGCTCGTTCTGGTCCTCAGGAGCCGATGGGTTGGCACCGTGGGCATGAGAAGGCTCATTTTGGGCTTCTGGGGGGTTCTGGTTACGCTCCACCTGGGCAACATCAGGACACTCTTGATCTTGGCTTTCCAGTTTGGAGAAACTCTCACCTCCCTCCACCGTGCCGGCATTCACAAAGTCCTCGCCCTGTTCTTCAGGCGGTGACACGTTCCTGCCGCTCTCCAGGCTCGTGGCAGCCCCGCAGCTCTTATCTTGGTTTTCCAGCACCGGCAACGTTGTGCTGAGCTCTGCTACAGCCGGGTCTGTACAGCAGTTACCGCTGCGACTTTCTGACAGGGAGGAGTTTTTGCCACACTCCATTACACCATCATCCCGGCTGCTTTGGTCTTCAGCTTGCGGCTGGCACAGGACTTTGCTACCTTCTGGTATAATAGAGTTGTCGCAGCTCTGATCTTGCTCTTCCGCTTCAATTGGGTTTTTATTGTCTAGAGAAGAAAGGGAATCTGAACAGTCTTTATCTTGACTTTCCTGCCCAGAGAAATGATGACTGTTCTCTGATGACAGGACATCCGTAGAGCACGGAGGACATTCATTGTTTACATCATCGTTACTTTTTCCTGAAACACACTCTTCGCCAGGTTCCTGTTGCTTGCCGAGGGCCAAGGAGACACTACCTGGGCTGCTTTCAGACTTCCCCGGTTCCTCCTGGGCGTCCCCGACTGAAGCTTTAGGGCGGACCTC